TATAATTTAGCTCCACATGACTTTCTTTATTTTTTGAAATTTTAAGAGTAAAAATTGTCCAATACTAAACACTATGTGGTAACAAGTACGGACACGATATTGAACCGAAAGTATCGATATAGTACTAATTTAAAGTATCGCTGTAAAAATATCGGGTACCCATTAATATCGTAATAAAAAGACTCGATATTCCAAATATCGATACAAAATTCAAAAAATGTAATCTGAATATTGGTGTCATTTTCTATTAGAGAATTAACACTTTGCACTTTAATAAGTACATCACTGAAGGCGCGGCCACATACCAACCTAAGATAGTACACATTACTGCGCTTTAAAGCACAAAATATATCCATATTGCTTTACATATAAATTCCAAAGTAAATAAGGTTATAGTACGACATAGATTTGCAGAAATAGAATGTTTAAAAACAATATTAACAACAAAACTTTCAATAGAAATTTTAGTATGGATAAATTTTTACATTTTGGAATTTGGAAAATGAACTTTAAATATTTCAAATATTACAACAAAAAGTTTTATAATTCCAATCCACAGAGTTTTCACGTTTTCATTTTATTTTCTAATACTTTGTCATACAAATGTATCATTACTTGGGTTCTGGTACTCGATTCCAAAAAATATCGTTTGAAAACTTTCAAGTAAAAAGTATCGGTATAAAATGGCAAAAATATCAATATGGTATCATATCGTATCTAAATTCGTTTCCCTAATAACAAGAATGATAGTATACAAGATTTTGCATTCCCGGCGGCGATGAGATTTCTCAAGTAAAAGTAAACAAAGCCGAATGGGGGAGAAAAGAAACTGTCAAACAGTGAATTTTCTCAATTTCTCAATATTAAATTTTTCGTCGGGAAACATGATTTATTGTGTTAAATTTAAAAAAAATATATGGTTTATAAAAAGAAATAATAAAGAAAATTTAAAAAAAACGGCGATTTTGTGAAAGTATTAGCATCTAAAGTTTTCAACGCGTTGTTTACTTTTACTTGGGGATTGTCAAAATTGGCAAAATCAAAGTTAAAAGTTTTTTCTAGAGATTCGAATTAAAAAGTTTTCAGTTAAGGTGGAACCTTGCAAGTTTTTTTTTAATTTTTGTAAAAAGTTCGATCCGAAACCTGAGACCTACCACATTTTTTCTAAATCTACCAGAATCGACCACACAGAATTTTTATTAAGTCCGATCACTGAGGTTGATTGGTGCTAAGAATATGGTTTGTATTCACGATTGAGAGAAATAGAGATTGCGCCAATCGCGGTACCGCTAATCCGCTCTTTGTGATTTTGACAGAATCAGCTGCGTGCGTGACGTCGTCTTAGTGCAATTGTTGATTGTGAGCATACAAAAAAACCAAATAACAATTTTAATATTTGTGTGTTAATATTTCTGCGTGGGTTTAAACAATTATTGAGACATTACAAAGCAAAACGAAGTGTGCAGTGGCAAAGTGTAATAGTGAAAACAAAAGGAATGCGTGCGATATAAGTTTTTTTTTCGTTTCCTACGGACGCAAACCTGGCGAAAAAGTGGAAGCAGTTCTGCCGGCGAGGAGATGCATTAAACACCAAATCGAGCTTCTACATGTTGGCCTTTCTTTGGGGAATTGTAGAAGGTACATTTCCATGGTGAATGTAGACAGTTGCTGGTCAAGAATGATAGAATAAAGTATTTTATCATTCTTGCTTGCAGGTTTAGTTTGCTGGCAATGGCATGCATACAAAAGTGGTTTCTACAGTAAATAGGTACATGAACTTCACTACCTACTTATTTTTGTTAGTACCTGATTCTTTTTAGTGCTGGTATGAGGTAATGCGCGCTGTTACGTACCTAATACAAAACAGTGCCCATATTATTATACACTTAAAAGTTCAGCTTAGATTATGTTTTACTTACATAGAATATTTGTTTCCAAAGAAGCCACACTCATGCATCCTCTCGGAAATGTACAAAAGTCATCCATTAAAAGCTGTGGAGTCAACAGCTGTGGAGTTTATGGTGGTTGGCTACCGTCCACAAATATAAATATGCACTCTGCTGGCTTTTTACAATGACGAGTCCATAAATTCACTTTGCTGCACACCTTCCTTTTGGTCTACATGAAATTGCTTACACTGTTAATACCACAGTATATACAGTAATAAACCTTTCGCACCATTTGGTCCCCGAGGAGTACTTTTGGGTTGTGTGCAACGCTTTCGTTTTGCGCGCACGGCAACACTTACTGTGGGGAATTTCGCCTCATGATTATTTGTTATTTATGAACAAAATGTCGGTTAAGTTTAATGTAAGTTTAAATAAAAAAAAAGTCAATTGTAAGATTATTATTTTAAGTAAAACATAAATTTTGTGAATTTATCAAGCCAAATTTTAATTTCCGAATATATTTAAGTCTTTATTTAAAAAAAAAACAAGGTTTGTATAGCTTTACAGACCCCAATGCCTGCCAGCGTATCTGCCCAGACAGTCCATTAAGCAAACCTAAGATTGAGTGATCTACAAGTCACAAGCGTTTTCAGCATTTAACAGTTCATTATCATGTAGGGTGTAATAAAAAAATTATACACTGAACTATGATAATCTGTACTGGTATCTATAATAATAGACAATAATTTGCAATGTTTTTACATTTTTGCAATTAGTTTCGGGCACTATTACACAGTCCTGACTTGTGCCACTCTGCCATAGTGCGGTTGTTGCTCCCTTTCATACAACAGTAATTTTGTATACAACTCTGAATCAACAAAATTCATGCTCCTTCTCATTATCACCCCTGATCAGATTTTACCCCCGAGGAGTACTCAAAAAGGTTTATTACTGTATATACTGTGGTTAATACATCCATTTTTTCATGTGCTAAAAATCGTACTTACGTAAAGGGCTACATGTCCAAAATTATTGCTACGTGTTCCTAATTAATCAATCTTTGTTTATTTATTGATTCCTGTAAAATTGGGCCATTTAATTTTAAAATTAAAACATTTTTCTGCATTGTTTACATATTTTTATATGCGTTTTGACATTTCTCTCTCGCAATTGCACCAAGATGACGTCACGCAAAAATTACTCTCAAAAATCCTCTCTCATTGGCGCAATCTTGTATTCTATCATTCTTGGTTTGTATTTGTTGTATAAGTGGTGAGTTTGTTGGAGTTGACATTTGAGAGTAAGTTAGAAGAGAGGTTAAATTGAGAGAGAGAGGTGGAATCTTTTGTGTGTTAAACTTGAAAAAGTAATCTGTGTTTAGTTGAGTATTGGTGTCGATAGTTGAGTAAGCGAATTGAGTGATAGGAGAATTAGAGATTGGTGAGTTGATGGCTTTTTCTGACGAAGCAGAGGGAGCTGTGATAGACTTTTGTTCTGGATGAGTAGTTTTGCTTGTTGGTGGCTTGTTCGCTTTGACGGCTGATGTGCCTGTGCTAATTAAAGCTGCGGAATATGCTGATGGAGTAGTGGGGTTTTGAGCTTGTGATTTGTGTATGTTCCTAGCTTTGCGCATTGAACATTTTTTTGTGGTTTTTATTTTTAATATTTCTTTTTGTTGTACATCCTTTTTGCAATCTTTGGACGAGGCTGGGTGATTTTCCACGGAGTTGGCACAATAGGTACGGGTGCATTCTTGAGGAGAGTGGCAGATTGCAGTTAGTGCATGCCGATGCATTTTTGCAGCACTTCGTAGTATGTCCCAATAATTGACAATTACGGCAACGCATGGGTTTGGGTATATATTCGCTTACTTTAACTGAATGCCAAGAAATATCGATTTTTTCGGGTAGTTTGTAAAGATCGAATGAAAGCAAAACAACTCCACTGGGGTTTGCCCTACCATCAACAATTTTGGGGAATTTAAATGCCGAAAGTACACCTTGAGCATTCAACTCTTTCACGTTTTCTTCTTCTGGTATTTTGTTGAGGTATGGAGCATAAATAGTTCCTTTGGTTAAGTTGAGTGTTTCATGCGAAGTGAAATTAATTTTACAAAGCCCAACTAACTCTTTTGCTAATAAAAACTTGTCAGCTACTTGCTTATTTTGCACCAACAGTAACAGATTCCCATCACGTAATTCGGAAATTGATATGATTTCTGCGCTAATCAGGTGTAAAGAACGATGTACAGCAAAGCATGAGAAGTCTGATGTTGTCTCCAAACCAAATTTGACAAGGGATGACGGAAATTCGTTCCAAAATACAGCAGACCTTAAACTTTATTCACTCAGTCAGCAAAACAATAGTATACACTTATATATATGTATGTAGTTATATTAACTTTCATTCCTATTTTTCATTTCTTATAAATTTCAATCCCCGCTGTATTATTCTATTATTAATTTTAATTTCAAGTAGTGATTCAAATGAATTGCTTAAGATTATATTAATATAAATCTATTTGTTTTTCAGCTTTTGTTTTGTGGGATTTAGCTTTTTTCTAGCGGGTTTTTATAAAAATCTGGATTTTTAATCGAAAATAGTTGGCAGCACTGGCTCTAACATACAAAACTGTCAAGGTATCAACAAAAATATTACCGTGGTCTACTAAAGTAGGCCGCGCGTGTACTACACTGTTAATTTTTTTTTGAGAAAATATTAATTACTGATTAATTAGAATCTGACTAACCAAATTATTTAATTAATCAGGATTTTGTTTAATCAAAAAACTAACCTATTAATCGCACGTCCTTAGTTATAATTTGAAAACGTCCCTATTTTTCTGACACATAATATTGTGTACGGGGTGTTGTTTTCAGACAAATGAACATACAAGTTTATGAAAGATGATAGTAGCTTTTCGTAATATTTTGCTATAGATTTACAACGATGTATCATTTATAGAAATCGGATATTAAATCAAAATGTTATAGAAAACCCGTTTTGGCTGGTGTTACGGGGTACCGAAAAAAATTTTCCACTCCTGATATACTCTTCATAGTGAGTGCTCATAATGGCACATTGTTTGGAATATACTTTTATCGTTCACAGATTATAAATCTTTTTGTTGCTGTTATTATGGATAACTTTGACTATTTAACACGTGATTGGTCAATTCTGGGACCACATCATCTGGACGAATTTATACGCCTGTGGAGTGAATACGATCCTGATGCGAAAGGTCGCATTAAGCATTTAGACGTAGTTACACTTCTGCGAAAAATATCGCCGCCTTTGGGATTTGGGAAATTATGCCCACATCGAATGGCTTGTAAAAGACTTGTATCTATGAATATGCCACTTAACTCTGACGGAACTGTTCTTTTTAATGCTACATTATTTGCTGTTGTACGAACCTCTCTCAGAATTAAAACAGATGGAAATATTGATGACGCTAATGCGGAATTGCGTACAACAATAAAGCAGATTTGGAAACGCACTAACCCTAAGCTTTTAGATCAAGTCGTGCCGCCACCAGGAAATGATGATGAGGTTACAGTTGGAAAATTCTATGCGACGTATTTGATTCAGGATTACTTCAGACGCTTCAAAAAACGTAAGGAGCAAGAGGGTAAAGAAGGGCAATTAGAAAACGCCACAATTACACTCCAAGCAGGTTTAAGGACGTTACACGAGGTATCACCTGCACTAAAGCGAGCAATATCTGGAAATTTAGATGAATTATCTGAGGAGCCTGAGCCAATGCACAGGGTAAATATCAAACAAATACACTAATAAATTTTACCACATATTCATTATCGCTTTGAGAAATTCACGTATTTTTTTCAAATTGCACTGAGAAAAGAGTTTATTTACGTCAACTAAATATGTATGTTTCTCTCAACACATGATTTGGTTATAGTTACATTATTTGATTATAGTTACCAAATCATGTGTTGGGAGAAATATATTCACCTTGCTTTTTTGTGAGTGTACTAATTTTTATATCGCACATAACATAACCGGCTACCACTGACCTCAATTAAAATATAATAGGGGTATTCACGATCCGGTGCATACTGTCTAGCATAAATATCATAGATAGCATAAATAGCATGATTTTTGTTGTTTCATGTGTTCAAACAACAACAAAATTAGCCAATCATTCTATCTATGCACCATGCTAGACAGTATGCACTGGATCGTGAATACCCCTAATATTGATTTTGCTATACAAAAAATATGCAGGGGTTTCATATAGAAATTATGTTTTGTTATAGCCCATAGGATACGACTGTACTTATAGTTTTTTCCATCACTTCGTTTACTACTTTTTTACAAACAAATATAATAAAACCAGCGTTTGAAATTGCTTTCATTTTTCTTTTTCATTTGCTTCCACTTTGCTGTGGTTGAGAGAATTTTAAAAGCCAACAGCAAAGCGAAAGTAAAAACAAAAAAATTAAACTGTACTGTCGATTTGCTGCCAAGATAGTGGCAGCGCGACAGTAAAGCGACAGCAGTACGAAGAAAAAATGCAATTCGACTGTTGCTGTACTGTGAAGACCTTCACAGCACGAACGCAAATCAACAGCAAAAGGAATTTCGACTGTTGCTGTACTGTGAAGCAGGGATGAAAAAGTAGGTACAATTGCACCTTTTTCCGACGTTTGATGACTTAAAGGTACATTAGGTACAGTCACTAGATTTTAGGTACAATCATCTTTTGATCAGATGCATTATTAGTTTTTTTTCCTTTACCATGCTAATATATTTACTTGTAGGTACGGGAGAAGTTTCGCTTTCATTTTGAAGAATAAACAATTCTAGAGAAAAGTGGTCAAAAGGAAGACATAAAAAAAACCAGGATGTCTTCAAATTTTATATTTTTAGATGAGAACTACAGCTATTTGACCCATACTCGCTTTTTGATTTCTGGAAATATATTTAAAATGCTTTCGAAGTTACTTACGGCACATTGATTACATTCTCTAGATTTGCTGCACCTATTAAAAGGAATCGGATAAATTAGCGACTTCCTGTTGTTTTATAAAAAGTTGGATAAAGAAGTATACTTCGCAAAGTGTGTTTTTTTGTCTTTTTCGCCAATATTTTTCAGTAGTCAAAATTAGACAAAAACAATGCTTCTCCGATTCCCATTAGACAATAGTCTATAGATATAGGCTCAGTTGAAAAACCTAATCATGTTTAAAGTACATATATCTTTTGTATTCATGTTTTAAATAAAATTTATAAAAAAACAAGTAGGAGCAGCGCTGTCTTCGGCTATGCCGAAGACTTCATACCTTTCATGAACATCTGCAAATTTTACTTTGACAGCTTTTGAATGCATCTGCATACATCGATAGAGGAGTTACATACTTATATAAAAATCGCATCTAAACAATCAGAGGTATGGAACATATACCTTATATTAGCACCAATCTAAGTGATTTTCACTGCTATGTGATCGGTATGTAAACCGGTAACACAATTTATTGGGTTTAGTTTCCTACATAAAGGTGATATATCGCAAAAACTGGTATCTGAAAAATCGCTGGTATAGGAGATAAAGCTTATACAGCATAGATTTTGACGATTTTCTCAGTAGACTTTGTATTATTATTTATAAAATATCTTACGAAATTTATCGGTTTTAGCTGTTCAAATAAAGGAGTTTTACAGTAAAATGCCATATTTGAACAATCAGATGTATGGAAGATATATGTTGTAGTCACCCGATCCTTGTTATTTTCACTGTAAGTATTCTGTTAATAATGAGTGAAAATGGTGCGAAATTTCATGTTCCTAGCTGCATAAATGGAGGAGTTATGATAAAAGACCTTATATCTGAACAATCAGTTGTATGGGGGCTGCCGGTTATAGTGACCCGATCTTTGTTATTTTCGCTGTAAGTCTTCTGTTGATAATGAGTTAAAACAGCGCGAAATTGCATGGGCCCAGCTACATAAATGGAGGAGTTATAACGAAAAATCTCATATCTGACAATCAGTTGTATGGGAGTTATAGGTTATAGTTACCCCATCTTTTTAATTTTCACTGTAAGTATTCTGTTTTTAATGGGTGCAAGTACTGCAAAACTTCATGTTCCTAGCTGCATAAATGGAGAAGATATAACGAAAAATCTCATATCTGAACAATCAGTTGTATGGGAGCTATAGGTTATAGTTACTCGATCTTTGTAATTTTCACTGTAAGTATTCTGTTTTTAATGGGTGCAAGTACTGCAAAACTTCATGTTCCTAGCTGCATAAATGGAGAAGTTATAACGAAAAATCTCATATCTGAACAATCAGTTGTATGGGAGCTATATGTTATAGTGGTCCGATTCTTCCGGTTCCGACAAATGATTAATACATTATAAAAATACACCGACCTACCAAATTTTATCCGGATATCTCGAAAACTGAGAGACTAGATTGCATACAAACAGACGGACAGACAGACAGACGGATATGGCTAAATCGACCCAGCTCGACGTTCTGATCATACAAGTATACATTTTAATGGGTCTCTCTTTTTTTATTCTGGTACTTACAAACATCGGACCAAAGTTATAATACCATTTCATGCTCATGAAAGGTATAAAAACTACAAATAAATGATGTAACTTTTTTAGGTACAATCTGACTCATTCAGGTACATTTATTTTGTCTTTTATCACACAAATACATACATACATATGTATGTATGTAGATATTAACTTGCAAAGCCTCTAGTTAAATATACAACCTAAGATAACTTTTCATATCCACTATTATTATTTAGTCGAAAATCACTTAAACATATGTATGTAATTAGCTTAGCGATATATATTTCTAACAGATTGGACCTACAGTAGGGAGCAGAAATCGGTATATATAAATTTTGCGACGAGAAACTCAAATTTGAACTCAGTTTTAAGTTATCTCGTTTAGTTTAGCCGTAATGATGGAAAAAGGGAAGACCGTCTGTAGGCGGTCTTATCGGGTTAGACGAAAAATAAAAAATAGCTATTGAATAAAGATATTTTATGGAAATGCATTTTTTTTATTAAAAGGATTATCAAAACTTACATATATAAAATGCTATAAAGACTTAGAATTTAAATTAATTTTGTGTATGGAATGTCAAAAAGCAGTTTTTGTCTTGCTTGATGCACAAATTGAGGTTACATTTCATGCAATACATTTGCGTATCAGATTGTTTGCACTGCTTACACCATTCTTGCTTACCCCCAGCATTGTTGGAAAATGATCAAACTTATCATATCGCTCATCATCTGTCGGTATTTTAGCTCTTTTACCAACATCAGATTTAGTTACTGTCGCACCCGTTGACGGTCTTCCGAAATTTTTCTGTTTATATTTACATAAGCCAGATGCAATTGATTCACGAAATTCTGGTAACGACGGCAAATCATTTACTGAAACGTTTGCATTGATTCTCCTATGCAGTATATATGCATTTGTTATGGTCATATCAACGCGGTGATAAAATATTTTTATCATTGCGTTACGTGTTTTCATCCGTATGTGATACCTCCCCATCAATCCATCCATTAGGTCAACACCTCCCATATCCCATATGCAATTCAACTACATGCCCTGATGTTGAAGGTATGTCGTCTGCCAAAATGATACTCTCTCAACGACATCACCGAAATCGCTAATATCGATTGGAAAGGCCCCTGAATTGATAAACGCATCACTGGCATCAGCTTGATTCATTTCACTCAAGCAAGTTGAAATTTCCGTATCAAATCTATCTTGCATTACTTCCACTGAATCATCAGGACGAAAATCTGGATCTAAAAGGCTATCATCACTATCAAATTCGCGATCCTCGTCCAACTCTTATTCCGATTCAAATGAGGCCATCAACGCTTCGATTTCCTCCTCCGTCAACTTGCTCGCATTGTATCTCCTCTGGCAATTATTTTCGCAATCTCCTTGTTTTTTCCTCATGTTTAACCCTAGAGAGATAACCCTATTGGAAGTTACGGAGAAGATAACCATACGTCTGTGGGACGTATCATAGTTTTTCTTTATGGTGACAATATTTTTGGAAATATTTTTTACCTTTTTGTACTGACGTTGGTTCTTTATATATTTCCTTATTTTTTAAATGCATTTTTGGAGAAACTTTTTTTTATTATGTAAGAAAAAATCACATTTTCAGTATTCTTATAAAATAAACAAAAAAAACAAGTATTTTGTAAAAGGAACTGCCGTTTTCTTTAAAACTAAAATGAACACATTTCTTTCGCTTTTTAAGCTTATTTAGATATAACATTTATGATAAATAAAAAAAAATATTAAGTATGGTCAAATCAGGTACAAGTTTTGCACACTTCATTTTTATGTTCCCCGCATATAGGCTTAGTACATTTTACACACACCATTTTAGACATACGCCTTATTTTTGAGGGGCAATAGGAACAGTATCTTTTTTTCTTTGGTTCAGGTTCTTCTCTGCCTCCATTATTGTCTCTTTCAACCTGTTGAGGCAATGCATTTTTTATATTTCGCTTCAAAGCGTTACTCAAACTAGGGGCCTCCAAGCGCCTTTCCATCCATGGCGATGTCAACGAACTGGATAAAGTTTTCATAAAGTTTCTTCGACCAGACGGTTTTTGGTTTCGAGACTGCAGGTTGTGGCAATAAATAACGTATGAATTTACAAAAGCTATGTTGAGCAGTCCGTAAAATATTGCCATAGGCCAACGGTTAGTTTTCCTTGAGCACGACACACATTTGGTCGAGCGTGTC